CCCTACAACTTCCCTTCTACCATCCCACTTTCTTTCATCATTCGAAGTACCCCCCTCCCCCTCCTCCCCCTCGCCCCCTGTCTTCTCAGGGTCTCTAGTTGGTCCGCGTTCGTGTCAACGTGACAATTTTAGCCACTTCATTTGATGGTGAAAAGCAATCTAATTTTTAGGCTCTTTCTTCTCCGTCCATTGGCCTTCGTTCAGTAGTCTTCAGTCTGACTGCATTCTTAGTGCACGTAAGTCCAAAACAGGGGCGTTCCAAACCGGCCCAAAGTTATGTTTCATCTTGTCTCGCTCGCTACTTGTGACAGTCGTAACATCTCCAGGTCCAAAATCCGATCTGTAAACTAACAGATAACCGATGGCCATTGTACGGAGTGGTCACTGATCTCCTGGATTGAAATGGACGCTCGGTGAAGTGACCTGCAGATAAGATAAACGCAGAGGATAGTCTAACGGTGAATGTGGCACATTGTCTTGACAGGTCTTTCAGCCTGTCTTCCTTTTTGTGTCAATCTGTAATAATTAGGCGTGATGGTTTTGCAGTCATGCAGACACTCCCCGCTTGTTGCGACGGGTTGAAACGATGCATTTTGATTGGCCAGTGTTGCGATCAAATCTTTGCAGACGACGGAGTTGACAGACGTAAGCTTAGAGGACTGGACGCGGGAAAGTCTTAGACTAGTTTCTGCTTTGGTTTCTCTTACCTTTGTGTTTCTGAACAACAGTAGATCATTCCCTGTATACATTAGGTTCCTAGTGTTTGCTTTGTGTCCGGTTTATGCAATCTGTGATAATACGAAGTTCTCGGATTCTGAACGAAGAGTTACTTCGTCTTGATAACAGACTGAACAGAGTGTTCATTTTCGCGTAATTCGAGATGTTTATTTGCTTCTTCGTTATTATGATCTGGGAAAAGATATCGTACCGCACTATATCAGCCGTATTGCACGTAAAAAGATAGTGTTATGTACGATCTTTGTTGCACGCCAGCGTTATTTGCACTACTCACTGTGAGAGGTTGAAAGGCGTTTTTGGTAGGTTTGTCTCCTGATTCCTGTTTGTGTGGAACAGTTTATTACCAATCGTGTATATATGATAATAATAATAACAATAATAAAGTTATCCTGAAATAATGCTAATAATGATAGTACTACTACTACTACTACTACATGTACTACTACTACTACTACTACTACTACTACTACTACTACTACTACTACTACTA